AATATATAAACAATATCTCTATTTACCAGCCAACTTGTCGAGGGTGGCAGAGGTTTAAAGTCTCTGCCAGCCAGCCAACGACCCCCCGCATCACATGTCCTGGATCTAGCCTCCTCGTACTAAGGTCGTTGTATTACCCGCCTTCAGCGTTACAAACAATTCCCCTTTACAAACGCCGCCATCCTTAATCCTCTTTCCCGTGTACAACATTTCTCGCCCTCTGAATATCTTTTTTATTGCCTCACATGCTGGGCGTCAATTGCCCCTTGCCCACCTCCTCGGCGCCGGCAACCATGTACCAACACGAAGGATCCATTGCTGACGGCGCCCGGCCAGACGACAACACTGTCTCGCCCCTCGATTTCCTAGGCTTTTTTCCCTTGACATCCGGCACTGTTTGTTTGTTTACATGACAACTTCAACGTAACTGAACTAAAGAGGTGTCTTCTGGGAGATTTTGTCGATTTATTCACAATATATCAATCGACGAACTATTTTCTTGCTGAACTAAATATTCGAATAAAGTCATTGCATACACATCAAATATGATCAGGGGTTTCTAAGAGATTCTACTAAAAGAAATCAAACTAAAACGAATTTAATTATGATATTGTTCCATAATCACAGCTAATAGTGTCTCACGTTCTCTGCCCGTCCTATATGGATGTGAATAATATCCCACGCGCAGTATAATTAGAAGGAGACGAGTATAATTACGATCCATCTACAAAAACAGTGTTGGATCCCGGCGGTGCGGCATCCCACAGTTGGTAAACAATGCGCGCGTCTTGGCGGCGTCACCCACACTAAGAGTATCACCTCACCCACAAGTCGAGTCACTTTTTCCCACGAACAACTAACTCTTTTGATGTTTTATTTTAAGAGTAAATGACAACGTGGCTGTACGACATTATCCAGATCACATTACATACTTGACACGTCTTTACTGCTGAGGGAGTGCAACGGGCTTTACACGGTGGCCTGATGGACATACACAGTATATTTATTAAGTAAAATCGTCATATAAGCTTTCAATCAGCCTGTACATAAGTATACAATATACATAGTACAGGTATATAATGTATGAACAGTGCAAATATACAATATAGACTGCATGTATACAATGTAAATAGTACAGGTATACAATGTAAATAGACAGTGCAGCAATGTGGGTAGATAGTGTAGGTATACCTTGTATAAAGACAGTTTAGATATGCATACTTTTCCTTTCAGCCGCCCATTTTCTCAATCAGAAGAGCACATCATTATCTCACACCAGTTAGAGCGAATAACATCTAAAGTTTCCAGTGAAAGAGTACTTATATATTTAACTGTACCCCTACATGTTTCTGTACCTGTACTTGTTTCTGTTATCTGTAGTTATATTTGTGTTTTGGGATTAAAAGATAAAACTGACCAAGGTAGCAACTCTAAAAGGAGGGGTCCATCAAGCCACATTAAAAAGGATTTATGACACTGGTAGTTATGGAACCTAGCAGGGGAAGGTGGCCTGTATGACACCTAGCAGGGGAAGGTGGCCTGTATGACACCTAGCAGGGGAAGGTGCCCTATATGACACCTAGCAGGGGAAGGTGGCCTGTATGACACCTAGCAGGGGAAGGTGACCTGTATGACACCTAGCAGGGGAAGGTGACCTGTATGACACCTAGCAGGGGAAGGTGGCCTGTATGACACCTAGCAGGGGAAGATGGCCTGTATAGCACCTAGCAGGAGAAGATTGTGTATTATAGCACCTAGTGAGAGAGAGAGAGAGAGAACGCAGCTCAGGGCGGGGAGTTCAGTTCCTGCTATCAATAGAGTCAATCAGTGTTGCCAATAGCCCAGGCTCGTGTGTGTTGGGGAGGGGGGAGGGTAAGTGCAGGGTGAGGGTGTAGGAGGGGGAGGCATGGCGGGGAGTGAGGGTTTTAATCTTAGGATGCCGCTAATAGTGGTTGATTGTTATTATTAGGCCAAGCCGCGTCCTCCGCTCTTAAATCACCCCCAAATGACCTTACGATCCGCTGGAGTATAGATGCCAGAAACATCAACACTACTCGTTCTTCTGTTTCTCCTATTTGGTGTATAAGTTCGGTGAGTTATGTCATTTCGTTTATTAGGGGTCCCAGTGTGCCCGAGCTGTAAAGATAGGGGGATCAACACCTTTTGGTAAAATACGGAGGAGTTTAGAGGTTCAGAACAAGTAAGTGTAGATTGGGGTTCAGATGCCAGACACGTCCACTAACACAGAATCGAACTCCCCCCCCCCTATTTTTGCGATGTCGTCTTCGTCTTTTTTCTTTTAGAGTCCCTATTTCCCCCGCCCGGGTTCCGCCTTTAATTTATCTGAAGAAAAGAAAAATCCCCCAAATGCCAATCATTTACCTACTAATTATTAAACAGAAATAAATTAACGCAATCGTTGTTTACAAGTGACAAAAATAAACTTCCAATCGAGAGGTATTAACGACCTCCACTATTACATTAAAACGTATTTACATATAGATTACACGCCATTAACTCACAACAATAAGTACCGATGAATCATGTTATTGAAACCCCTTAAAATAATCTACTGTGCAGCTATTAGTGAATAATATATAGTACATTCTAGTAGGCTAACACTGACTTAGCATTATAAAGGCCTAGTGTTACCGAACTAGACACTAAATGAAAAACTCACGTTATTTATCATTAAAAAATAAATAAAATAAAATTGTTCTAAATATTATATCCTACAAACAATTATTAATTTAAATATCAAAACATTTAATAATAGTAAATTTAAATAATAAAATAGGAATGCATTTACCCCTTATTTTGGTATATTAACTTCCCACGTTATTAACAATATAAAACTAATGATTCATCGTCACATAATACACTAAGTTAAGTCCAGTCTGTATCACTACTATTATTAACACAACTACGGTTACCACTATTAGTAATGCAACTACGACTTCTACTGGTTACTTCTACAACAATTACAACTGATTACTGTCTTTACTAGTGTTAATACAAACTAGCTGCAACTCATAATACTAAATTCCACTTAACATATAACTTCCTGTATTACAACTTGAACTTTCTACTACTACTACTGCTGCTATTATTACTACTACTACTACTACTACTACTACTACTACTACTGTTGTTGTAGTTTCGTAAGGGTAAACATAGATCTCCTTAAAAGACTTGGACAGACAGACAGACAGACATAGACTCACAATAACCTTTGACTTATGTATATTGACTCATTGTGAGTTGAGGAAAGACATCTAATAGGCCGTTGATAATACAATTGATTCGAAAAGCTAATACTAATAGGCCTATGTTAAATGAGGTTAAGGTTATGGTCAATCTAACTCAGATAATGAAATAAAAATCTAGATAATAAATAACAGTAAGTAAAACTTACATGACACAACAGGATTCAAATTATATATTATAGGAGCAGATTCATCATCACTATAACGTACGCTAGGGTCTCGTTAGGGGTTAGCTTTGGCAGATAAACCCCAAATAAAACTGAGACTGTCTTAACTAAATACGTTCACGCAGCACAAATTAGGGGGGAAAAAAAGTTAGTCTAAATAATTTTCGTCTGATACAAAATATAAATTATCTACTTGATATTTTTTTCCGCCTCGTGTAAACTTCATGGAGATACGCGTAAATTATGTGCTTCAGCCGAGTCACATTAGCACAGCGTTAAGTCCGTGCTTCAGCCGAGTCACATTAGCACAGCGTTAAGTCCGTGCTTCAGCCGAGTCACATTAGCACAGCGTTAAGTCCGTGCTTCAGCCGAGTCACATTAGCACAGCGTTAAGTCCGTGCTTCAGCCGAGTCACATTAGCACAGCGTTAAGTCCGTGCTTCAGCCGAGTCACATTAGCACAGCGTTAAGTCCGTGCTTCAGCCGAGTCACATTAGCACAATATTATATCGTCAGTTAAGAGGAAAACATTATGGTTAAGAGTCACTGGAACACTGGAGGTCTTCACGTAAACCATTAAGAGGAATTTAAGGTCCATGTGGCGCAACAGAACAGCTGCCCCGACCAGACATGGCTGTGGTGGCGACGTCATCATCTGGGGACGACTGGGAGATATAGAGGTGTGATGTGTTAATGGTGATACTGGTGTGTTGTGGTGATGGTGTGTTGTGGTGATGGTGTGTTGTGGTGATGGTGTGTTGTGGTGATGGGTGTTGTGGTGATGGTGTGTTGTGGTGATGGGTGTTGTGGTGATGGTGGTGTGTGTTGTGGTGATGGTAGTGTGTGTGTGTGTTGTTGTGCGTAGTGATGTGTGTTATGGTGAAGGTGAGTTATAGTGGTTGTGATAGTGTTGTGGTGACGATAATATTTCCAGTACCCAGAGGTTATACCAACGATCTCGGTAACAAATATACAATGATCATAAATAACAATGTGGTAGAGGTACAATATAGTGAATTGTTTAAAAAAAAGCTTTCAGTACTAAGAGGAAACAAGGAGTGAACATAAAAGTTATCTATGAGTCACTGATAATGTGGTGTGTGTGTGTGTGTGTGTGTGTGTGTGTGTGTGTGTGTGTGTGTGTGTGTGTGTGTGCTGATCGCTAAAAGACTAACCCAGTCTTAACCATTGTAAAAATTATCACCAACTGTCGTGTAGGTGTCATGGCGGGTAATCTTTGTCTAAACTGAATCATTTTCCTGTATTTCCTCTAAAGCATGACACAATTTACTCCCCTAAAATATGGGATTGTTACAACACACACAGTGGGGCGGCCTGTTTGATACTGTCCCCTCTCTCTCTTGTACTTCCTCATTTATATTTTCCCTCACCCTCCCTCTCTCTCCTACCTGCCCTGCCTCTCCCACCACCTACCTTCCTTTTTTCTCTTCTCCATTTCCCTCTATTATGATGTTATACAGGCGTGGGATTACCCTCGCGGTGAGGTTAGGTTAGGTTAGGTTAGGTTTGGTTAGCTTAGGTTATAACCAAAAGAGATAAGAACTCACCCTCGAGGAAGACGATCCAGCGACGACTCATCTCTGACTGTCGGAAGTAAAACCTGCAACAAGGAGACCCCTAATAAACCTCTATCTACCTTTATGAACATAAAATACGTTTTATATTATATTTACAACTTTTATATAACTTAAAATTTATTCTAGATTATATTAACGTTACCCATCTTTAAATAAACTAGCATTATTCTTATTTACAGTACATTCTACAATATCTTAAGAAAGATATTCAAACATTCTCACATGATCAGTTAGGTGAATAATTAATAATCTCTGAACATTCTTCCTCGTAGTTTAATACATTCTCACATCTTCAGTTAAGGGGGAGGATATTAACGTAGGGATCTCTTATGGTTGGTGTGGGTAGCGTGAATCAGAGATCAGCTGTGCCATAGAAGGAGAGGGTAGGTGTGCGGTACCTTGGCTGTCCGCTAGAGGCGCCTCGCTCGCCCACACACACAAACAAGAAAATATATACAGTACGTACTCATATATACATAAACGTCCACAAAGGCATACACGTATGTTACCAACACACATATTACCAACTCATAAACATACATATTAACAAAACACACACACACACACACACACACACAATACTTACCCGGCAGGAGAGTTGTCGTTACAGACGGCGCGGGGGGCGTGGTGATGGGCGTGTCGTGGGGTGGAGGAAGAGGAGGCGTGGCGAGGAGGGCGTGTGAGCCAGTGTAGGGTGAGGGGCGTGGTGGTGGGATCCACAAGGCCACAACACTCTCTCTCCCTTGCCGCCGCCACCCTCTGCACCGCCTCCGTCTCCACCAGGCGGGTCATAAGTCGAGGACCAACTACAGCATCCAAGGGCCCCGAACCTAGGGCTCCCAGGGATGTGAGGGCCCCCGGGGTTCCTCCACTAGTCGCCCCCAGGACACCGCCACCAGACAAGGCCCAAGGCGGCGCCCCAGCCAGCACCGTCGACCACAACAACCTGAAGTAAACAAACCGATCATCAATGTTAAGGTGTTGTTAAAGGGGTTAAGGTGTTGTTAAGGGGGTTAAGGTGTTGTTAAAGAGGTTAAGGTGTTGTTAAGGTTTAGGCACACTGATTGTTATTTAACAGTCTACAACACAAGACACAACACTAACAACCATTTATAACCAGTTGACTGAAATACAACAGTAACATCAATATTAAATCTATCAATATTATTCTTTTAGGAGACACCAACATACTGTAGATCTTTTTTCATATAAATTTCAACTTTAATATATAATTTTGATCTGTTGACTGATGTGTAATAGACAGACATCAAAGACAGTAGCGTACATGGAAACACACATACATATGTTATTACACACACACACATACACACACAGATACACATTAATCAATCGATTAGGGTACCGTGTTCATATGTGAGGGTTGGCGACCACAGTCCTCCACTGTAGACGTTTAATTCCACTGGCCCTGGTCCACCCACCCTCAACTTTAACCCTTTAATATTTCTGTTATTATCCCTCGATCACTAATAACATGACCAAAGTATCTCAGTTTTATTTTTATGGACATTTTAAGTATTGTTCTTGATTTTGCTAGCCTTAGTACTTCTTCATTTGTTGTCCTGTCAGTGTAGCTTATTCTTTGCATTCGCCTAAAGCGTCACATTTCAAAGGCCTCCAAACTCTTTCTGGTGTCTGCTGAAGTGTCCACGCTTCTGACCCATACAACAGTCCTGGCCATATAAAGCCTTTTAATAACCTTTTTCTCAAATTGAAGTAAATGGCTCCTTCTCATTGGTTCTTTTAGATTATTAAAAGCTGTGTTTGCTTGTCCTATTATTATTATTTTGATTTCTGCCGCATACTTTGCTGTCACTCGGAATCAAGTATGATGATCATCCAGCTATGATACAATGATATGAGTTATTGAGGATGTCACCTACGTTGGTGAGTTCTGAGGGGACTATGTCGATGTTATATCTAGCCAGGTCTTTTGCACCATGGGCGGTTCTTCTTTCAGGACCCTCATTTGTGCCAGTATCCAGAAGGTTCCTGACATCCCATATAGCGACCATAAGAGGTTTTATAGTTTGTTTTTGTTTGGATCTGTGATTTTGACTGTGTTCTCGACCGCATAAGGATGACCTGACTGGGTGCGGTTGCCCAGTCAGGTTGGGTTTTTAGGCAGGCTATGTTTAGGGCACCTTTTCTAGCTCTCTCCCCATGTGGGGTGAGCAGAGTGGCTCCTCAAAGGGGCTGCTCAGTTGCACAGACAGGACCGGATTGCACTGCTGCCTAGATCCCAGTGCATAAATAACCATCGTATCTGTGCCGCCCATGTACAGAGTTGTGACTAGAGACTCCCGGCAGTCATCTTTGCCTGTCCCCATCGCCATAGGACTTTTGGGGTATAGGGGTTTTGATGATGATGATGATGAGAGGTATGATGAGCTGGATGATGGCTGTATGTGGTGAGGCAGGAGTGGAGGCTGAAACCACACATCTTGGCTCTCCCTTTTCCTGATCCATTGGTACAAGTGTTGCAACGACTGGGGAGAGGGAGAGTTGCAATGGACTGCCGATAGCCCAGTTTGTTGGGTTTCGCCTAGTAGCCTGTCCATCAGGCACTGCCTTCATCCGCCGGTGTAGTCGTTGGGTTCCGTGGTGGTCAGGTCTTCCGCCTATACCGCCTTACATCCACCATCACAGCCAATGCTACGTCATTTTCCACTTGTTTAAGGTCCTTGTTGCCTTTCATAATTTGTATTTAAGAATTTATTTCCAATTTAGAAAGAACCTTTACTTTAGTTTTTGTAATGCCCTTTCACTGTCTGTGGTAAGAGCAGTATCATCTACCTACACACACACACACACACACACACACACACACACACACACACACACACAGTAATAACGTATTTTTTCGCAACAGGTGTGTCTTCTACGACGTGTTGTGCATTACATGTATTGAAGTTTGTGTGTGTGTGTGTGTGTGTGTGCTCCAATCAGTATGCAGATATGAACGTGCGCGCGGCTGTGTGTACGTGCGTGTGAGTGCACAGGTACCTGTATGAATACATTATACACTATATGAACTGGTGTAAGTTGTGTTTGTGTACATAACTTAAGCTTGTTTGTACGTGCACATGACCGTCCCCAAAACACACACACACACACACTTCAATTGGTGTAATGGGGTCATCCTTTAAACCCATACGATACGGAAAGGTCAAGACATCAGAGTACCTGAATATTAGACACCCCAGCTTAGTCCATCTTAAGATTAACTACCCTAGCTAACCTAATCCTAGCATTACCTATCCTATTTAAACCTTACCTATCCTAGTGTTACCTATCCTAAACAAACCTAACCTAACCAAACCTAACCTAAGGTTAGGGTAGGATAAGTGTTAAGGTGTTAAGGATAGGATAAGTGTTAAGGTGGATTAAGGAGGAATGTCAAAAACCTTCAGGTGATCCGACTTATCAAAACAGACCATTTTTCCTCACGACACCAGAAGATGGATTCTCAAAGGTATACTTTTACAGTCACTCAAAAACTATCTGTACTTTGGGTGGTCGATGAATTTCACAATGAACACTGTGACTCCTGTTGTCTCGGTAAGGTTGTCAAAATCCTTCGTCTGTTGTGTCATATTGTCTCAACCCAATTTTGTATAGATAATTTTTTTTGAGTGACTGTGCGTAATTTATCAATTGATCTTCACAACTCGCTAACTGGATATAAGAACGTATTTAAAATGGCGTTGAAACAGAAGTGAGACTCTACACCCTGATTTACTATACGTGTCTCTGAGAGTTAGGGGACGTGGATCATTTGTATTTATCCCATTGAAATCTATCGTAAGAATTTAATTCATTTTAATAAGGTAGTAAGATTTATCTCACATTTGTTCTTAAAAAAACACGATAGAGATTTTGAGATATGAATTGAAGTGAGAAACGAAAGAAAGAGAGAGAAGGAAGAGAGAGATAAGGTAATAAAGAGAGGGGGAAGAGAGAGAGAGAACATGAGAAACAAATAGAATAAGAAAGAGAGAAAGAGAAAAAAGAAAGAAAGAAAGAAATTGAGAGAGAGATAATCTAACAAAAGACACAAGTCATAGTCGGTCCCACTCAGGTCAGGTCAGGTTCTATTACATCTGGGACTCACTTGTCCTGTAAGTCATAGTTAGTTGTTTACGTCAGCCATTCACAAAGTCTATCTATGTAAAGTGGGAAATATTACTAAGAAATATTAGGATTCCGAGATGCATCAACGGAACACTAAATAAAAAAGTTAGAGGAATAAAATAAATGTGTGTGTGTGTGTGTTAAGGCGCCCTTGGGACTTTAGAATCCCTATAAAGGCAAAAACTAGGCCAGATAACATACAATGGTCATGAGCACAGCGAGAGTCTCAGACGCCAGCTGACGTCACATCCGGGAAGATCCAAAATGCCACCTCACTCACCCCTCCAGCCCGGATTCTCAATGATTCGTATACGTTAATTTTTTCCTCTAACAAGGGATGAGAGATCGCAGCTGATTACGGGAGGAGCAGAGTGCAATTTTGACTCGATTTCACCACCGCCATCTTTGTTCAGTAGCTTACGTGAGCGAGTCGTCTGTGTTACGCCGCCAGTCAAAGGGTTTAAAGGATTTGTCTTTGGTCGTAAATAAAAGTGTATAAAAATGCCGTTTTTGTGACTTAGGGGAAATATCGTGTTATAAATCTTGTAATATTCATCTTTGAGTCGTAGTTGAAGTGATTTAGTAAGACACATCCCCACGTTCACCTCTACAATGAACCAGTTGGACGATGCCCTCACCTTCCCATCACCAGCTCAGGTCCCAAATTATTATCATACCAATCTCTCAGCATCCGGAACTAGTCGAGGTATATAAAACTTTTACATTAATGGGCTAATAATAAATATCATGCAGCATCATCCCCTCCCCCCTTGAGAGGTCGTATGAGGCCGGGAAGCTGAAGAATATAATGGTCAGGGAAGGAGTGGTCGGACGGTGAGTGGCATTAGGGAATCCACACTGGTTGGTATCTTCATCACTTGGAGGGAAAAATGTCGCTAGTCACTTCCCACTTAAATCATGTATATAAACGTTTGATTTTTTTTATTGGAATTTTGTCTCTTTCGCTTTATATTTCTTGTAATTCTTTTAGACATGTTTTATATTTAATTTATTCTTATATTTTTATTATTATTTCGGGTGATTTATTTATGTATTTTTAGTTCTTATTTTTTCCTTGTTTTTCATTATCTTTCATTATTATTGTTTTATTTAATTGTTTTATTTAATTCATATATAATTATGTATTGTATTTAATTATTCTTTTTTATTACACTAATTCATATTATTATTATTATTATTATTACAATTATTATTATTTTTAGGTTTTCATAACGAACGTATTTAATCATGTCATTTTAACTTGATAAATAGAGAAGACTTCACAATATAATAATGTTAAGAGATATACTGAAGAGATTTACTGATCATTACAAACTCAATTATTAGCGAAGTATATAACTAGACAAGGTATTAACAATTAATATTTAAACGAGTTATGGGATTAACTGAAGAACATCCATCCCAGTTTATTCCACCTAAAGATTAACCACGCTCACGTTAACCTAACCCAACATGCTCTAACCTATCCTCATCTAACCCATACTATTCTATCCTCCCCCAACCTACCCTATAACTGCATCCCCCCCATACAGCGTTAGGTTGGTTAATCTCCAGGTGAAATAAGCTGGGGTGTAGATTCTTCAGGTGATCCAACTTTAGTCTTACACAATATAATATAAATAATGTACAGTGACTGAGAACACTACTTTTAAATATATTTCCTTTATAAATGTCTTAAATCCGGCAACTTTTTATTTCTTCACTCGGGAGGTTCACTGTTTCTCTCCCTCACATTTAATGTCTTGGGGAATTAAAAAAAAGAAAAAAAGATTT